ATTTACCGAATGCCAAAAATTCATGACATTACATTTATCATAAACAATGTAGAGACTACTACCCCATATCACTAGATAGTGTTTATATGAAAACATTTTCAAGTGATCGACTCTTCAAAGTTCATATATCTAATGAAGCCTTCCTTGACGTCATTGTCATTAGCATATTGTAAAAAAATGAACCCTCGTAACTCAAAGATTGAAATGATGGAATACTTCACCGATCAATTATTTCAGCTCTTCATAAAGAATTAAATCCAGAATTATAATATTATGGGTCATATGCACTTAAAATGTATATTTGTGTGTTTGACGTTACGCTACAGCCTTAGAACCSCTAGTAAAGGCAATATCTGCCGTTTCTTGATAAACGAATCACAATCTCCGTTTGTACTTAGGAGAAAAATACTGCATTGCTTTTTTTTGCACTGTATCTAGTGACTCCTTACCCTAGCCCCACAGGTTAGATTTTTTAGCTCTTCGCGAAGCGCCGTTTTGTCGGCTCGAGCCGAAACAGCGCCTCGGGCCAACAAAAACAAATAGCGAAGAATGAAAAAATAAACCTCTTGGAGCAAGGTTCTAGTGTCTAAATTCCGTGTGAAAATAAATAACTGCGATAAAGCCGAGAACTAAGGAATTCAAAAATGTCCATTTGTAAATCTACTGTAAATCTACTTCTTACTGAATCTGTTTTCACAGTGTTCTAGAATTATTTTCACTGTACATTGTGTTTGGAGAGTCGGCGTCAAAGACCATGTAATATAATAGCTTCAAGGTCCACGTATACCCGAAAAGCTTTGCCAYCATCTTTTTCGTTTATGAAATGATCTTGAAATCTTTTCTTTGAAAGTTGTTGCTTTCTTATTGGTTCAAAGATCAAAGATCGAGTTTTCGCGTATGTATGAAAATAGCTCAAAGATTCTTGGACCCGGGACTTTAATTAAGTAATTAAGATTTAATTGAAACTACACTCATTAGGTCAGCGGTGACGTTCCTATGTGGTATTTATGCCTACGGTGCTACATGGATACTGCTGGGACAGAGCAGTGAAAACAAAATAACACCAAAMGTTTGGAAGGAATTTATGGTAAGCTCTAATTCTATTCCCTTCTGTTTTTTTTTCTTATTTAAATAGTATTTAAGTTTTAGCTTTGAATTTTAKTAGTTCGTGTAGTTAATACGAATTTTGCACAGACAATTAAAGAACGTATGCCGTCTGGCACAAAAATTGCTGACTGATTCTCTGCAGTGATCGAGCTGATTCTATATTTCTGAGATGCGTCTTTGAGTTGAAGGTTCAAAGTCACAATATGCTAAGACAATGACGGCATGGAAGCCTTCCTTAGACAAACGAACTTTGAAACAGTCGATTAAAGATAGCTTCATTATATTAAATTTATCGTAGGCAATGTATTCCATAACCATATTCCCAGATTGCGTTTTTGAAAACATATGCTCCCAATATTAAAAGACAGTATTTTGTATTAGAAAGTACAGAAAACATTTTCAAGTGACTCTATTTGAGTTTTACCTATATTTCTGCTTTTACATTTGCCGAATAAACAAACGGGGTGACCTAAGTAGCACGCAGTTGATGTAATGTATTCATAAAATGTATTGTATTCCATTGTTTCTCGTTCTATTGTATTATTTGTTTTGTATTATATCTTTATGAATATATTACATTAACTGAGTGCTACGTAGATTCTCCCCTAAACAAACCTAGAGATTGCTCTCCTTTGATTTTCAGTACCTGTCGTTTGTAATAGTAGTAACTGGGAATATCTGTAACGTTATCTTCCACGTGGTTGTCAAGGAACCTCAATCATTGGGCTACTTGGAACGTCTTCGGCGCAAATCAACTGTTGAATCAACAGGTAAGAGAAAGTCCTCTGTGGGGCCAACCTCGTCACCAGACCCTTGCTCTCATTAAATGATCCTGRCCTGGAAAATATGATTAATTCTTGTTGCTTGTAATTCATCCTGGAACACAGCAACATAGTTTGARATTTTACCTTCGTAAGTAGCACATTTGCATAATGGCGTAACTTTACTACAATCTTCTTTGTTACTAAGATTTTCAATCCGTTTGGAGAATGGTAAAACAATTGGGATTAATTGCATTAAAAGACAAAGTGGGCAAAGCATCCTGGTAGTTTTATTCAGTGACGCTCTAATGCAAATAGCCCTATTCCATAGTCGACCCTTTAGTCGAAATTCAAAATAATATGCATTGGATCATTCATGGTTTAACGTGATCATCCTCGTACCCAGAGCTCTTCTCGCCACAGGCCGAAATACGCGGGCTCTTGGCACGACTTGAACGTGGAGGCTTTGGATAACAATGCGCAGATGCRGCACACATTCAGAAACTAAGGCCGTTCCTCGTGTTCTCCACCAACCCTTATTTTTTGGATGATGAACGACTGCAAACTACCCTTTCGATCATTAATGTGCAGTGACGTCATTTTGTGCAGCAAAGCATGATGGTAGTTGTAGTCCTCGTACTTTTTATGTCCGCTAAAACAGTCCTTCTGAAATCTTTTTCCTTTTTCTAAGGTAAAATAGAAGCATTTTTGCCATTTCTACACAGAAGAAAGCATAAAAAGGAGATAATTTAGGCTCTGTATTAAGGGTGAGGAGTACAACTACCATCATAATGGCGTCGCTGCACCTTGCATATTGTTTCTCAAGGGTATCATCATAATTTAGCATATGCATTAAAAGTGTTCATTATCCCATTGTAGCAAGTGTACTTCCTGAACCTTCCAGTACCGTTACAGAGAATGGTTTCATAAACCACGCTATGGACGCCAACACTTCAACAAAACAACAACAACAACAATTGGACTTCTCACCCCAGTGCAATGGCTCTCAAAATATGGCTTCAAAGGAATGCGTGACCATTGAAATGAATGGTGGCGTGACACACGTTCCTAGAGATAGCGTGACATGCAATGATAATTGTGGCGTTACACATAATGAAGTTCTAGAAATAATTGATAGAAGCGCTTCACCATGCTTGCAGCCCAAATCCCGCTTGGGTTGGCTGAAKAGCCCTGGCATTTACAAGGTATTATAGTGATATCTCTTCATGAAAAACTCCATCAAATTACGGCCAATTAGCAATAGAGTGCATTTATTACATCTTTAAAACATTTTGTAAGAAATTCCACAAAATTGCGCTAATCAGACGATAGAAGCCCACAAAGGGCCGGATTTCACACTACTTTGCCTATAATTTACTCTCAGAAAACTATTTCATGGATATATTGRAAGCACTATGCCATTTGTACKTTTTATTAMATTTCAACTCTCTGTGCATTTTCATAATTTTCTGATATTTGTTYAAGCACAGTAGCTGTTTTATGATTCCTTTTTTAAAACAAAGAAGGTTGGCAAAGCATTCTGGGAGTTTCATTTAATGAMGTCATCACGAGCGCGCGCGGTGACATTGCAATCGTCACAAACGTAATTGCATATTCGAATTTGGTTGACAAATGTCCTTGGCTTGTTTCATTGCCATATTGCGGGATAATTTTAAAGGACGCAGCTGTGCTTGTTTTTTTTTCTTTTTTTTTGAAGAAGTCGGCTTCTACTTGCGCGTTACTTAATGCGCAATTATCACCGTTGTGTTTCAGATTGCTGTAGCCTACACGTGCTCTCGACTCGTAATCACAGCATCACAGTCATATTTCCCTCTCTACCTCACAGACACACTCAACTTCCMWAAGGTAATTCCTTCTCTATGCAACTTAACCTTTCAGCTTTATCAACCCTGCCTTTGAACTGTATGTAGTCACGAAGTAGTTGTTGCTAGCTTAACATGTTGTATATTTTGTAATTCAAACTGCGATTTTCCAGGARGCCATTGCTTACTTTCCTTTGGTAAATCTTGTCAGTGGGCTTTTGGCAAGTTCGCTGGTCAAGCCCCTCTGTAAAAGACTCGGACAAAAGGTGCTTATGACAGCTCGCACAAGTTTCAAAAACGCATTWTATTTCCATATGTACTTTTTCTCTAGCGCGGCCGCTATAATGTTTTACATTGAAAATCATAGCACACTAAGAAATTTCAAGTAAATTTGAGAAAAAATATCGCCTTTTGCCAGCTTTATGAGTAAAAATGATGGGATTTTTAAAATCATTTTATATTCATAGATAACTTACATCGTTGGTGGAACTATGGTCATTGGCGCATGCGTGTGGTTTTACTTCCAGTCTGTTGGTTTGCGCARTGCTGTGTATGCTGCTACAGTAYTTATAGGCAGCGGTGCTTCGATTTTACTGGTGACGTCATTGTCGATGATTGCAGACCTTGTTGGAAATGACAARGTAAGTTTAAATGATAATATAACAATATCTTAGAGCGTTAAAAAGGTGGTGGTGGTGAGTTCCATTCAGATTTCATTTCTCTTTTTATTTATTCGTTCCTGATAATTATAGATTCTGCATTTTTTAACCCAAAACAGAGGGGGCTAGCCACCCTACTCTACCACAAGAATTTGCCCTTAATAGTCCATTGTCAAGGGGAATACCAKACTTATATTATGAAGAGGTTTAATGTYTCAGAAAATATGAGACACGGACTGGAGCGGATAAWTGCGTTTGATTTCAAAGACACTTTTTCACTCAGGAATGTGGAGCCTTTGTTTATGGAGCCATTAGCTTTATTGACAAAGTGTCCAGTGGTGTTGTCATACTGGTTATCCAATATCTTAACCCACGTGATCATCAGGTGTAAGTACAAATATTGGGAATGAGAAATTTGTCACTCACTTTCTTATACATCCACTTACTCACTCACTAACTCACACTCACTTTCCTGTAAACTGTGCACAATCTGACAAAGGCATTTTATTGTTTGGTTCGAGTCCAAGATGTTAACAAAGCTCATGATCCCCAAGTACACACTCAGGAAAGTGAACACATTTGTCACTCACTCACCTTTCTGTAATCAGTTAACTTTCTATCTGTGGAATGAAGTAATCAGTTAAATGAAATTATCTTATTTTTTGGCAATGGCATTGATGTTTATAGTACTTTCATTGTAAATTTGTTCACAGAGAAACATGCTTGGAGTGTAACGAGTATGTTCGTCGTGTGCAAAGCATTGTCCCGGGAGTTGCAGCTGTGGTTGGCGTATTGACTGTCATCTTATTTTTCAGCTCGAACTTTATTTGTAAAGCAAAAGGTAGATCCATGTATGCACCACCATTTCAAACAAAACTTATTATGCATTTGACCACAAATGGTCCATTCAATTAATCAAGAAACCTGAACTCTCTTTTCAGTTGAATACAGCGATGTTGGTGTAAACGTCAACTTCCCACAACTGTGGCTAGAGAAAGCTGAAGGCACAGACAATCATGGAGCATCAAGCAAAGAGGACTGTTYGTGTGATAAAAGTAAATCAGACTGCAYGGTACGAGCTCATTGCARYGATKTGAAAGAACATGTGGCAGCAGACACAAGGTAAAACAACACACCACAAATACTTTTCATTACCATCACTTAACTTTAAACCACAGCCAGAGATCACAGGCAGTCCACCTCTTGCATGCTTAATTTATGTAAATTAATTGCATCTTATTAATTCATAAATATAGATGTATGTAGAAATACTCCAGTTTTGAGATCTTATTCATGCAGCCTTAACCTCTTTTATTCAGCAGAGATCCTATATCCTATATCCTATTGTTAACACTCTGTGTATGAAGAAGAAAATAAACAATTTATRCTTTATCGAACCTTAGCTTGCACATTAGAGCATTTGAAACTGGGGTATTATGATTATTTTGACCCATATTCCAAGTATTATGTATGAAATATATCAGAATTTATGTGATATTGCCAATATTTTTTTTGAAGTTGCCTAGCTCTAGTAGATAGTACTTTCTGAAAAACATATTGGCGATATCCCATAATTTCTTATATATTTATATATACTTGAAATGACCAAAAAAGATCATTCTTTCTGCATATTGCTGTATATTGATGTAAATAAATAAAAAGTTGATTCCAAAACTGGAGTGTGCACTTTATATGCTTGCTTAGTTGGATCCATTTTTTTCCAGATTTTAATGAAGCTCTGTTCAAAGATTGAAGCACTACTATTTAATTATATTTTCAAGGAACATTACTAATTTATAGAATATGAATATTTATTGAGTTTATATCACGTTTGCTTGTATAACGTAGGAATAAGTACTGTTTTCAGAAACTGTATTTAAAATTAGGTGATTTGGCACTTAGAACTTTTGAAATTCATTCATTATATACAATGGTAGTTTTAAAAAAATGTTCAGTTTCTAATTGAAATGTTTCTCACAAGGTGGGATTGTTGTTAACATTTTGTCTACCACTTATCCTGTATCAGTCATTCACAGATTGGATCATACATCCATGATGTTATATAATGCAATGAYGTCATAGTATAATTATAGCTTTTGATATACAATTTCAGTTGTCTTTGTATAATTTCATAATAAATTCATTCTATAAAATCTCAATAAAAGACTTTTTATATTATTTCTTTTACGTTTTGCGCCAATTTATTCTAAGATTTAACACGCGTAACGCCTCTTGAGATGTAAGTCTGTAAACTCCCAGTTCATTCAGGGTTTCCTGTGGTGTGACATCGTCATATGACTGGGCGTTGTTCAAAGCCTCCATGATTAGTATGGCRGAGCCTGGTAACTGGTTCAGCAGTATACAGGATTCTTTGACCCTTAAAGTATTTTTAGGTACTGTTAATTATCGTCTGAAGGAGGGTGATAATTATGAAGCATAAATATGATGGGTACCAATCAAAAATGTACCCCCATCCCCTCCCCTATTCAGTTGCAATTTATCACAGTAGATGCAGAAAAGTACCTTTTAAAAGGTGTTCCACTGATTTAGATTTTTGGAAAACATATATTTGACACTTATTTTAATATTTTTCAATAGCTGACATCATATGAAACTCATAATTACTTCATTCTGTAACATGTTTTTTTAATGACCCGGCCTAAACACCTCCCCCAAACCTGGCGATAACCAAAAAACACTTCCTTAAATTAGATTATCAATTAAATAATAATATAAAATAATAAGTAGGTTAACTATTTTATTCTCCCAGAAGCTTTATTTAACTGGTGAATTTCATACTTGGTTTTGCAGTCTACATCTGACATACGAAAACCAATCCTAAGGATAGATTACTTGAGATACTCCTTTATCGTACATTCCCATTCTATACATAGACCACGAGTTGCATATTTCGAGATCATCATCAGAGGGGTTTGTCTTTTATCCCAAATGCTAATGAAGTCGTAATATGTTTTTTTGAAGTGATACATTTTATTTTGAATACTTAGTCCTTATAGCATGGGCATACTAGCAATGCTGTTTTGGGGATGGCRACCACAAGTTGCATATTTCCTGCATCATTATCAGACGGGTTTGTCTATCACCCTACTGCTGATGATGTCATAATATGCTTTTTTCAATGGTACAGTCTTTTTTCTGAATACAGCTCTTAATAGGATGGACAAGTTGGGTATGCTATTCTAGGAGATGTCTACAAGTTGCATATTTCCTGCATCATTGACAGAAGGGTTTTTCCTATTACCCCACTGCCTATGATGTCGTAATATGCTTTTTGAATGGTACAGTTTTCTTCTGAATTCAGCCCTTATAGGATGGACATAATGCTGTTCTGGGGGATGGTGACTACAAGCTGCATATTTCCCGCATCACTGTCAGTGGGGTTTATCCTATTACATCACTGATGATGATGTTGTAATATGCTTCTTTGAATGGTATATAGTTTTTTGTTTCTGAATACAGCCCTTATAGGATGGGCGTAATGCTGTTCTGGGGGATGGTGACTACAAGTTGCATATTTTGTGGTCATCATAAGAGGGTATTATTACCCACGGCTGTTGATGTCAAAATATGCTATTTTGTTCTGAATACTATTCTGATATTATCTCTACACTTAAGGTGTCAATATGTTGTCAGGGGCAAGTTGTACATTTCGAGATCATCATCATAGGGATTAACCTCGTTATCCCACTGYTGCTGATGTCGTAATGTACTCATCCCAATTACTATACAAAATGAAACGAAATGAAATGAAAGGAAACAAAACAAAATGAACCAAAACGAACAAAAAGGATGCAGCTGGGAAATAATACAAATCGTGATAATACAAATTGCACACTTCGAGATCATCATCAGAGGGATTTACAATTGTTATCCCACTACTGCTGATGTCGTTATGTGCCTGTTGCTATAACAACAAATGGYACTGGAACAGAACTGGCTACTTACTCTTTAAAATAGTTCTCGGGCTTKGAAGTGTATTCACCAAATAAGGTGAAGAGGTGCTTTGTTATGTCAAACTGTAATTGTGCTGCACCACCTTCATTGAAATGACACTCAAGAATAACCTGGAAACCAAATGAAGGGAAAAGATGGATTAATGGATAAATGGGAAAATGGATAGCTTTTACTTTGTTTTCCACCTAYRCATCAGCTACATATACCTTCTGATAGATGACTTTGTTAAGAGCCTCGGCAATATTTTGCCACAATGCTGAGAATAAACCACGTGCTAGATGTTCTTCAAGAATCTTAAGACGGTCTTTTAAAAACATCAACCAATCACATGCACTTGATGATAATGACATCACAGCTAACTCTTTTGGTGATGGAAGGCTGTGCCATCTAAAAAAACACACAGAAATACATTGGAGTCTGACTAAAACCTGAAATAATGCATGTTTATATTTGCTTAAATACTACATTGCCTATAATATCGGTTGTCAGTTGTCAGAGATTTATTTTACGGCTTAAAAGTTCCACTTATATGCCAAATACAGTATAGACCCAGTGGAAGSGACTTTAGAATACCGCATCACTATCTGGTTCAGTAGAAATTTGCATACTGAACGACACAGAATTCAATAGATTTTAATGATATGTCATAAAGTGACATGATATTCTAATTTTTAATCGAGTYCTTGCATGTGATTTCAATGAAGCTTCTTCAGGAGGGCAAAAAAGATATTGGCACTCTTGTGAACTTGAATCCATTGTTTTGTCAGAGCAAACATTAATTTAGCGGATTTCGTAATACTGTGCAAAAAACATGGTTCTTTCGTGAGCACTGTGACCGTATCGTGCCGTAGCAGTGATGTATTGTTAAAACTTTATTTTTATTGGGAATCCTAGAAGGCGAAATGACCTGTATTCGTGTTGTGATCCGTGCCGTTGCACAGTCATACGAAATCTGCTCTAAAACATTCTTTCAGTCCCTTGCAGTCAGCATTTTATGTAATATATAAAATATGAGCTAGAGACCTTTATGAGCATTTAAAACTACGAGCTGTAGGCGAGCAGTTTTATAGCCCATAAAGGTCAGACGCAAATATTTTATATTGCTTATCAAATTTCAACATACAGTAAGGTAAAGCATATTTTGAAAAAAAACTTCAGGATAAAATATCTCATTTGTAAGAGAAAATCGAAGTTAAAGTTGCATGCAAATCAGGACAAATCTCTTGCTCATATAAGATGCGGTCATGGCAATGATTTTCCATTGTGTTTACCTTATGAATTATTAATGAATTATATATTATTAATGTATGGTAAAGACTTCCAATCAGCAGCCCACAGTCACAAAGGAAGACAAAGTTCTTTTAATATGTATTTTACCTTTCTTTTTTATATGTATTGCATTTTGTTTTGAAATCATCKATGACATTTTTCACAATAACATCCATCATATGGGTCTTTAATTCTTTAAATTCACTSATTCGTTCATCAAATAATCCTGTTGTGGCTTCTTCTCTTGTTGAATTTAAGCTACTAGTTGTTTTATGATCATTGAGTTCCAAGAAAATCTGTCAAAATACAAACACAATTCAAATTGTAGAGTTGAAAATCACAAATCCATGTCCTTTTGAATAAAATTATTTGACTTACCGCTTGTTCAGACCAATCTTCTAATATGTATGTAACAAAATAAGCAGCATTCAACACAGAAAGAAAAATCCTGTCTAAYGGGTTTGAGCAGTTTTCCTCTGCCCTAAAGTTCAGTTGGTTGGTAAATTCTTGCAGGAGTTCGAGCTGGACATCAACAAACTTTAGTTGGTCCTCACAGCTGGGCAAATTCTTGTAACGATCTGTAAAAGAAATTATTATGACCTTAAAATAATGATAAWTTACAACAATATTTACTGTTGCTATAGCAACGATTTAGTTTTCTAATTTCTATATATTTACCAGTAATTACTGTTAAYAGTGTTATAACTCCTTCGGCACATTCTGGTGTCCTTGTATCATCAACTTCACCACCAATATCTTGGTACTTCCCTTTCCAGGCTGTTGCAGATGTCAGTAGTGACTTCARGTTCTCATCAGCRTCTTAACAAGAAAGAAGAAAACCTCACTTTTTATGYCACTAAGTTTTACATTGGTATCTTTTCACAGATTAAGCAAAAATTTAAATATAAAGTCAAAGTGATCTCAATCAAACTYYCCTTACATTTCTGTTCCAAATYAAGCCAYTTTTCCAGACATTCTGGTTTGGTMAGTACTGTCAAGCACTGATGGTCACTGGCAGAGTATTCGTAAAGGTTATGGATTTCTTGGTCAAACAGAAGTGTTTCATCAATAAAATGTGAAAATAAGGCATCGTCTGAWAGAAGGAGAGTAGTGGAGTGCTCCATCTTCTCCATGGCAACTTTGAGAAGGCCTCGGATGAACTCACACTGTACAAAATATAGTTAATTGAGGAGTAAATAAATACAATGATGGAGATTTGACTTTAATTAGTTATTCATTTTTTACTTTTGTGTGTAAAGAATAAGAAAAGTAGAAAGAGAAGAAGAAGACAAACAACAACAACATCAGCAACAACAATGACAAGTTTGAAATTATAACTACTACATGTACACATGTATATTGGAGCAGAATATATATAGCACACCTTAGCATCAATGAATCCAACATCTGCTTTTTCCAAGATAGGTTGTACAGTGTGCCGGATGAAGTCTGCATGACTCTTGATCCAGTTAAGTATTTGGGTGAAAAACCACTCAGGCTACAGAGACAGAAAAACCTATTATTTTTACATGCTAATCCTGTAATTCCTAAAATCTCTATAAAAGGCACTAGGTTTTGTTGAAACCAATCTGGCTTGTGTCTGAAGACATTGCAATGAAAAACCCGTGTTTTTTTTTAATTATCATTACTGTGAACATAAAAGTAAATTCTTCAGAAAAAGCTTAAAAGATTACACCAAAAACTATGATTTTTTTTCATCACTAGTTTTTGCACTCCTAGTAAAAAACCATAATTGTAAATACACTCTGATATTTATGTTATAAAAAGAAATTGCAAAATACAATACCTTTGCTAAGTTATTTGTTTGTTTCTTGCCATAAAAATGAAACTTGAATCGTTTCCGTAAGGGTTTTAAAAGCCAGTCAATTGGAAGGAGAATTTCGTTCACTGTGTCTTTACTTTGATTACTTATCTCATATTTTTTGCTAATAAAAGAATAATAGTTAAGGAAACCCCATCACTGTTATTTTGAGAAGGATTTATACTGCTTTATTACATGTAATAATTTACTGTGGATGGTTGCACTACCTACATGTAAAGATCTCCATGAAGGACCCCTGGTGCAAAGGGAGCAAGTTATTATATAGTAAAGGATACAAATCTTGTAATTTCAAAAGCAAAATAAATAATCTTTCTAGTTTTTGATAAACTTCTGAAGTAGTTGACAGAGGTGGGGCTGTTGATAAGGATGTGAAAGGCCATTTGAGTGCCTTAGTGACTTCCTCAAACTCACTGAAAGATGGAAAGTATGAACAACTTTAAGTATGACAGACTGAATACCCTCATAAGTCAATCAATCAATCAACCAAGAAAGATAGAGAGATAGATGTGGCCGACTTTCCAGATTTCGCAGACCAATGATCTGAATTGCATATGGATTACATAGATAGTGAGGGACTTGGACAGACTGCTATTGAAGGCATCAATCAATCAAACAGACTGCTATTGAAGTCACCAATCAATCAATCAATGAAACAATGAATCAATCAATCAGTCAGCCAATCAAACAATCTATCAATGAGATAAACAATCAATGAGGCAATCAATCAATCAATCAATCAATCAATCAATCAATCAATCAATCAATGATATAATCATTCACTCCACTAGTTAAAATAAAAATATCAATCAATCAAATCGAATCATCTAATCATCATTATCAAATTTGATAAAATTATCAATTGAAGATTATAACTTTTTTCATAGGTCTCGCAGCTCTAAACAAAAGTTATTGTGATTGATTGGCTAGAACAATAGGCTCTATTGTTTAGGCCTCGTTCTTTAGAGTCACTCTGGGTTGAGCCAACCAATTACTGGCAATGTTCTTTGGCGCTGCGACCTGACCCACTTTTTTAATACCTTGAAAGTTTTGACAAAAGAACCTTTTTCCAGTAGAATTGCATTTCTTGGGAGAAAGCTTTGAGATTTTCACAAGATGAACCTTCAAGTGAGTTAGTAATTGCTACTAGAATAGAGAATTGGTGGACTGCYGACCCTAACAGACCAGACTCTAGGTTTTCTTGAATACCATCACTGAAGGAAAGCAAAGTAACATTTTATTTGAGGTATTTTAATTAATACCTTAAAAAGGTTAGCACGAATTCGAGCCTAAACAATTGTTTTGATTACATGTAATAGTGATAAATACAATTTTTTTTTGTATACCTCACAGCTTCTAGCTTTTGAATCCAACTAATGTAAGTTCTAAATCGTTCAATGTCCGCTATCTGGTCAGCCAGGTGTGATAGATGCTCAGCTAATGGTTTAATTTTATCTATTTTCTTCTCAGATGTTGCTAAGATATCTTTCCTCTGGTTTTGAAAATTTTTGATACTCTCCTTGCTTGTCTTGCCATCATCCAGTGCCTCTTGAACTTGCTTTGGGGTTTTGTGTTTGGCATCTTCAAGCTACAGTTAAAAGGCAATTATATACAGTTAATAGTACTCACAACATGAGCATTTTAAGGGCATCATAAAGATAAATAGTCAAATACTCTATTTTCGAATTCAAAGTGAATAACCGCTGTTTTATTTGACAGCAGATTCTCTTATGCAGAAACATTACCAAACTCAAGAGAAAGTTTGAGAAAATATTGTAATTTCCATAGCACTAATAATTTAAATTTCCCAGAGTTGTGGCTAACTCTGTATTCCCAGAAGGCTTAAAATTTACATGTAGGTCTTATACACGACTTTCACAATGGCCGACACTAATTAGCATATTATTGTTAAATTCATAATGTTGACAAAAGAAAACACTCAGATGAAAAGCTAAAGATAAGCTCTGAAAGTTTCAAAAATAAAAAGAAAAAAATTAAATCCTCTGGAAGTTATAAGAAGATGCACAAAAACACCAAAACGAGGCCACCAAGGCCTCAGTAAAGAATTTCATGCAAATCATTGTATTTTCGCTCCTCCATAACTTCATTAGTATTTAGTCTATATCTTCAAAATTTTGCAAAATTACTTAAATCTGATCGTTCTTCATTATGACAGGGCTGAATGTCATATTAATATTGCCAATCATATAAAATCGATAGTAGGCAATTGTGAAAGTGGTCTATGGGAATACAGGTTATAGTCTCAACTCGGGGAAAATGCAAATTCTGTATTTTGTATTACAACATTTTCTCATACTCTCTTTTGTGTTTTGCATAGGTCTTTGTGCAAGAGAATGATCTTAATAGTAAAATAAATGCAGCGGTTTTTCACTTAGATTCAGAAATGGAGTATTCTGAAATTTTGGTTGAATGAAGAGAACTGAAGATAAGGTTTTATAATTATAATAGTTTAATCAGGTTAAGATGAACCAAAGCAATTCTCTATTGTTTCCATACAGCCTCATTTTCAATTCTTTTGTCTGCAGTTAGTCAACCAAAATATTGAAACTGGGGAATTTTTACAAGACAATACAATTAAGCAAGAACATACAATAAAGAAAAGAACTAATACCAACAAATGATAGCTGTTTTGGCATGATTATTCTCTAAGATAAATAGTTAAACAATCTTTTAGCAATGGTAATATTAGATGTTATAATGAGGATTAAATTGTCTTTTTTTTGCACTGCTAGCTATAAACTATTATTTTTGATAGTATTGAATTGATTTAGATTTGTGTGTGTGTTTCCTTATCAYGCAATTGCYCTAGTTATTAGCAAAACAAACAAAMTCAACAGACATCAAACTAGAATTACTTCCACAAACAGTATGGAATTGTAATAAACAAATTGAACAATGCTGTACAAAATGCACTGTTTTGTTTATATTTTGTATATTGAAGTAATTCTACATAGATATGATTACAACGTCACACTTTGACTTTCTAAAAGTGTCCTCTATATACGTGATGTTATTTAWTGTAAAACTCTTGGATGATCATCAAATGATAAAAAATTGAARTAAATTGAATATGAACAAGCATTTCAAACGTGTAGCTCTAAACTTACTTTCTCAACAGAATATATTGGATCTTGCATAATGTATAAAAGCTGTCATTGCAGTTCAAACATATTACTTCGTCATACTAACTCATTCTAAACAATCTACTCTCATATCAATCCAAAATATGAATAATTTACAGTAATCTTTCAGCATTTTGGAGATTYAGTACTGAAACACTCGAGGTGCTTGACAATGAGCCAAAACTAACCACCAAGGCTGTCTTGAATGAATTTTGAAGCAATCAAAAATGTATGTGTGTAATTTCATACAAAATTTTCAGTAATGCATGACACATACAGTGYTGTAGGACCTTGTTATTGAAAACATGTGTTTTAATTTGTATAACAATCTAATTAACACAATGTGTGACATTTGGCGCTTATCCAGGGGATTAATATTTAATGATGATGATGGAAAACTGGGGAATTTCTTCMCATAAGAATTTTAAGACATTTCAATCAACACTAAGAATTAAGCTTAATTGTTAACTTAAAAAAATATAAACACGCTAGATTTTTTGTATAATATTCAAATGATTTCTCTGAAAGCTGATGACAATAAATGGCACTATCTTGAAGTAATTAAGTAATTTTCAAGCTTACGTTATGCGATAACGGTAAGAAATCCGATAAAATTAAAATCTGTTCATAATTGGCTGATACAAAAATAGATGGGTTCTCRACATTCCTACACATTCCGATTCCAACAGCACGCAGGGTTCAAAACAACTCTTTTGCCAACTTAAAGATTTCAAAATTATGACATTTAAACTATATATTTCAATATAAAATAATTTCTTAAAGTCCACGTGTCACACGCACAGTTGAATTTACCATTGAGAAAACACATTAGAGACAAACTTACTCGTTTCTTAAGCTCCTTTTCTTTCTTYAAAGTGTCCTCCATTAAGGTTTTAACATTGTTCAAGCTTGATATGTTGGTTCCTACGACATCGTCTAAATATTCAGTGACCTTTGAAGCAATGTCGTCTTCGCTACTGATCTCATCCCCTTCTTGTTCGTCCGCCATCTTGGGAATGACTGGTTCGCGTGGTACTGGGCCGAGGATTCTCAAATGCGCCGCGCGCGAGCTTCTTTGCAAGCTCTGTACGGAAGCGGACTGTTTTTCCTTTTTTTACAGTGTTTAGGCGCATTTACACCTTGCACTAGGCTTGGGTTTGCGTCTTAGAAAAAACAGCCTTAAAGAAACAACAATGTACTAAAYGTACTATATCATATAATTTATTACAAAGATACAATGTTACAATTTGCCTTTCAGTTCGACGCGAGTTCAAATGTCGACTCAATTCCATTATAAACGTTTACCGTTTTGATTTACTAAATAGTATATCGAGTTTTGTTTACAGTTTTCTTGTTGCAAACTTTTTATCTCAATAAAAATCATCTTCGTCTAGGTTTGCTTGGGCCGCGCTATTCTTCACGCTATCCTGGTTTCGATACATCTCAGCGACCTGCGTGACACAAAGCATTTAGAAAAACATTAACGTTTGAGGAAGTTAAAAATTGGATCCAATGCTCAACTAATGTTTTGGAGCAAAGAAAAACATAAACAAAGTAAAGGACAAAGTCAATGCATTCAAAAAAATCTTAAAGTTGAGGTAAAAGAATCAAAACAATATTCAGCGCTTAGGAAAACTGAACAAATAAAGAGGACAATGTTGCGATTTTCAGCGCGCAGCAGCTTTCAGTTGTAATTCGTGGTTGAAAATTCAAAGTTGGTTATGGGAAAAAGAAAATGAAGGCACTGTGCGGAATAAGGTCTAAAACGACAGTTTTACTCCAAAGACTATTACAAAGAGTCGAAAGACTATGTCAGTAATAGTATCAAGTAACATRATTTTGCGATTGGCATTTGAAACGTCTATTTCGAGAACTCGAAAATCGAAAGTGGAATAAAGAGAATAAAGAAATTTCTGCAAGAATAAACATGATAAAACAAAACTTGCGCTCTGCGTTATAATCAATAATTTTGCCAAGCAAAGAAAAGATTTGCGAACTTTACCTGAGAGCTGTCTGTTGCTTCTTCCGGCTTTTTGTCATCGCGAATACGAAGAAATCTCGGAAAACGCAAAGATATGCCTTTGACGGGGTCCACCTGAGAAATGGACGTTTTTCGTMAAATRAAAATCGATTTTTGCATTGATTGGATATCATTAGAAGTGAGATTACAGTAATTGCTGTCATCAAGATAATCTTTATTAAAAATGTCTTTTTTTATACTAACCTGTCCCGCTGCAGCTTTATAAACAGGTGAAATCGAAAGGTCTGCAGCTCTCACTTCCCAGACCTGAACAGAAATATGAATAATTACAASATAAAAATATACGAAGCGARTAGACCTTTTCGCGGTTAAAATTAAACCAAAGCGGGCAACATGTTTCTGCAGAGCTCAAATGAACAAGAATGCCAAGTCATGTCAAAATCATGACTTTTTTCACAAACAAAAATTATTTTCCTGACAAGAAAAAAAGATTAACAAACTCAAAAAGATATTGCCTCGCTTTTGGTAAATATCTACAAGCCCCTTTCGTTTTCTAACTGCGAAATGCGTTTATTGAAAAATGTCTGTTTCAAAAAGGTTCAATCATCGAAGCTAAGACCGAAAGGTAGCATGGGAAGATAAACAAGTTTTTTTTWAATCAAAACTTCGATGTCTTAATTCATTTTTTCCATCAAATTCATGTCGTCCTTTTTTACCTGCACAGCGTCGAACCACACCTCAGGCTCCACGCCGTCATCAAAGCGATAGTAAGATTTAGGTTTCTCGATGATTTTGTCTTTAAAGAATTGATAATGTTTGTCCAGCACCTCGTCGGTGAAACCAGTACCAATCTGATGAAACAAAAACAGTCGTTAACATCGGAAAGATATCTACATGCATGAAAGGTATAAGAGCTAGTGTTGCTAGACATTTTATTGTTGTTGCTGCTGCTGCAGCTGTTGTTACTTTTAGTGTTCGTCTTGCTGTTGTGGCTGTTGTTGTTGCTAATGTTGTCAATGTTCCAAGTGGTGTGCTTTGCTTCTGTTGTTGTTGTTAGTTCCCCCTTTTTTCTCTTGTCAGTTTTTCTGTTGTTCTTGGTGTTTGATCTTATTGYTGCTGCTGTTGTGTTGTTGCTGTTATTGTCAATGTTCTTCCTTTTTGTTGTTGTTGTTGTTGATGCTGTTACTATTGTTGGTATCAATGTCCCTGATTTTTTTCTTAGTTGCTTACGATGACCCCTTTGTATGTGTTGTTCCTGTCGTTGTTATTCTTGTTGATTGTTTCTCGTATTTGTACTGTTGCCTCYGGTGTTAGTTGTTATTAATGTCCACGATGTTTATGTTGTTGCTGTTGAAAGTGTTGCGTCGCCTTCCATACCTTGCAAATAGTCTGGAATTCTTCACTTTCAGTGTCATAACAAGCCAARAGATATCCACCATAAGAGCCAGTCCTTTTACCTTTACCACGGTAACCACCAACGACCACTAGATCGAGCGTATCGCCGACGTCAGCAAGGTAGTCTTTTTTCAGCTACAAAAACAAATCAAGAGAAATGAACCTTTCTCCTAATTTTAACTATCACTTGGGTTCAAATCTTAGTTTATCAATGTCCCCCCGGTTTTGTTTATTTGAATTACCTTCAGCCAGTTGTGTGATCGTTTAGCAATCTCGTAAGTTGCGTCCTTATCAAGCGTTTTTACCATCAGGCCTTCGCAGTTCCCTTTAAAATGAAAAAATAGGCACAAATCTAATATCATTTTTTTTCTTTTAGTTCTCGCACGCCAATGTCACAGATGTTTATCGCAGATTTGTCTAGTTTTCTTCGCAACCGTTCTAAAAGTCGGGTTGSTGGCCTGTGAAGACATGGACCAAATAGAAAGCAATGTATTGCATAATTAMAAAAAATTGTTTGTTGGATGAATTCTTACGACACGCATTCAAGGTATATTGTTTATAATGCCAGAACACAATATTTAAATACAAGAAAAAATTTCAATAATCAAATAATAATCATAATRATTTGGAGTTGGCCATTGATTATATGCGACCGCYCAAGTAAGCACACAAAAAAGGCGGGAAAATATATACATTTGGACGCGCGCGCCGTAAGTAATAATATCAATTGCTCGCTTAGTAAACTTCCAATTCCTGATTACAAAAGACGTCTCAAATTGAATATTTTCAATGAAAAACACTTAACAGACATTACAAATCACGGTCTCAGAGTTCAAAAGTATTTTTTTTTAATAATGTTTGGTCCCTGTTCGACGTCGATAAGTCTGACATGTATGTTGCTAGTGAATATTTCAACGTCGTTAAAAATTGCCCTTCCTGTTCTGCGGAATACCCAATTTGAGTTCTCTGCAGACAGCTTTCACTGAACTAAAGCCTTGTCAATTAACTCAACTACTCAATACCTTTTATTGACTCTTCTAAGAATTCTTCAATGTCTTCCGTGTTCGTTGAAGTCATTGACTTTGCAAACATGAATTCCTGAAATCGCGAARCAGTGAAAATGGAAATCAGGAAAAAATTACGAGGACAAGYGTAAATAAGTGGAGAAGAAAAGAARATGAATGGCTGGTGCGCCTGTGCTTTGTCTGTCRGAACACAGTTATCGCGAAGACGTTTTACAAAATTTAATATTTTTTCTTACCCCTTCTACTTCTTGAAATGAAGAACGTAATTTATCTCTTCGTACGCTGAATGGCTCCTTGACATAAGACTGTAAAATKAAATAAATCAATACAAAAAAGAACGATAAGTTTAGAGGAACTTGTGTGGCCCAGTGGCAATGCAYYAGCCTATCACCGCATTGYTCCTGGTTCGATTCCCGCTTAGGGATTATATGTGGTTTAAGCTTTGTTAAGCTACAATGTTCTCTCCCTTGCTCCGAGCGCATTTCTCCAGATTCACTGGTTTTCCTTCCTCTGTCAAAAACTAACTGTGTATAATGTAGAGGTAGTGTAGTTTATTAGTAATACTGTCAAGTTCCTGTCCTCTCAAAAAAGTTGATTTCATTATTTTATTTAACTTCCAGTGGAGGCAGTTTTCTTTGTAAATCAGTAGCTATGAAAAGTGCATACAAACACAGCAAATGAGAATTTTTCATTTCTTAAGTTCAAATTGTAATACATTATAGTGAAGGGCAAGCGAAGTGTACCTAAAAGTCGAGGRTCGTAAGAAAGGTGATTTTTCTAAGACCCTCAACTTTTTACCCTCACCTCGACTTATTATCCTCGACCTTCGAACTCGACTTTTAGGTACACTCGGTCAAGCGTCCCAACATACCATCCCATTCAGGTAGATTAGGTCGAACGCGTAAACACAAACTTGRACCTTGATTTGTGTTGCATCTGCATCCTACAATATTTATGTATTATGAATATTATGAAGTGTATTATGAATATTKCATTATTCATATCCTGCAAATTGTTACCGATAAGTCGTGCCCCCTATCAATTTCTTTGSTTATTGAAAATAGACATCCCCTCCAAAATCGCGCGCATATATGTGTGCCTAGCTGAAATGACTTGAGCTCAAAAAATTTCCAGAAAAGACTCTTTCGGCCTTTTTTGAAGCTATATTGTTACTTTTCGATCATAAATGTATGTGGCTAATATCTAGATTAGTTATAAATATTTTTATTGTTGTTGAAAAAAGTTGAAAAAATTTTCATGAAAGGAACCATCCACAAATAAACAATTTGACTCTCATACCTTTCTTTTGCGTGTGCTTAAAACTTGAAAGGGAAGGATCTGTTTCTTTTCCTTATCCCATGCAACAGCTTCAGTGTCGATGATAAAAGATTTGACATCTTCATTGAATGCCTATTGAACAAAATAATAATAATAAAATATATATATATAATAGTGGTATAAAATGGTAGTGAGATCGCACTTTATCCGTGCAACTATACAAACTAAATAGTGCTATTTAGTTGTATTTAGTAAATCGTGCACGCGTTACGCAATTTAAATCGAATAGATACAAATGAAGCATTCAGTAGCGTCTTGCTTCAGGTCCACTTTTGGTACAAATTAGTACTACTTAGATTTTGTACAATTGTACGGTTTAAGTGCGATCACTCTTTATAAGCTATAATTGTTTTGCTTTCTTTTGTGTCTATTTGACTATCGCACTTAAATAGATATAAACATTACGATAATTATTATAATTGCTTTATAAGGTATGCCACCTTGGACATTCTTGCAATAATATCTGGATACTTTGTTGTATTGTTTTCTTGGTTGCGGCTGTAGATGTGTATTTCTCCGTTCTCCAGGAGATGAATCTGTCAAAAGAAATTTCAAATCAAGAAAGAATAGTAGGAAAGAGTGAAATTCTGTATTTACTGATTACTGAATTCAACACATCGGAATGAATTTTGGATTCAAACACTGCAAATGATTTTCAAGTTACTGCAAGGGTTGGGTGAAAAGTCAATCTTTTCTTCAATTTATGAGTTCATATGCATTAGGGTGACACTTTTGACAACTGTTTCAATATTACTATTATTATTTGAATGCTTCTCAACTCTCTTAAATTTATAGCTGACACCTTGCGTTTTTAAAAGTATGAAGTTTTTGCCTTAGGATTTTGCCTTTAGCAACTGAAAGCTTGCCATAAAAACAAATTTGACCATAATCAAGTTTGGTGGTTGACCCTGGTCTGATATGATGAACAATTCTTCAGCAAGATACCGTTATACTTACCTGAGCTCGTTCGCCATCATATTTGTATTCACAAGTAAACGCTGCATCATCAAATCTTTTAAACACTTCGGTTACACCTTTGGAGGGATGGGCCAACATAGGCTTCAATGGGATACCTGTATTGAAAAGTGAGAAGGGATGAAAATGGTTAARTGAYTAAATGAATGACRATATGGTATGGATTTYACTTTTTTCCAGGRAATACAATTCTGGMCATTTTAYRTGGGACAATGCAATGSATACATAACAATAASTAACTATTYAAGCCAACATRTTGGAATTTGTGTCTTGCCYRACCCCCTGTGCAATGCTGSGTGTCTCTTAATTCTTCAGTATTTTGACATTTTGTACAATAACACTGAATGAGGAATAGGGTTTGTAGAGAAAGAGGCAAAAAGGCAATATACCTGGAGTRAGATAGCATGTCTTTGGTAATTCTTTCACGCCATGTTTGAGAACAGCAGGGATAATTTTGTTATAACTTGGAAGTTCACTGTGGAAATAATCGAAAAAGCATGGTTATCTTTCAAAATATCTTGAAAGAACTGTTCAGAAGACTACACTGTGTTGTGCTAKCTTACCAGTATGCAGATTTTAGAATCATTGCAGCCTCATCCATCTGTTTCTTCARTTCATCAGTTGATAGTGATTTTGCTGCATCAATCACAGATGGAGGAAAGTCTAAATGCAAAATAATAACATATTCGGTAAATTCATCCCTTTATATCTTGATCAACTTGCTTTCTTGCTATAATGTTATAATCTTTAGATACTGGTAATACTGAAATAATTTAGGTTGAAGAGAAAAATACAAGAGATGGAAATGATCATGACCTCTCAAGATGGCAGCAGAAAGAATTGCTGTTCAAATCTTTTTGTTACCTTCACTTGGTGGCGTGAGYACAGCTGCATGAGCAAGAGCTGTAAGTACCGACTGCTCTGCAAGACCAATACGTAATTTACCACTGAGAGATCTGAAAGGATAATGAGGATGAGATGATTTTATAATGTTGCCAATGCTATGGTAAAAACAATCATAAAAATCATAATAATTATGATAATTAATACKGATAAAAATGCAGTTCTTGCCTTATCAAATATCTTGCTTCTGAGTGACGACAAGCAACGAACATTCCTTTGATGATATCAACTTTTTTTGTCATTGACTAAAAAAACAAAAGATGAATGTAAGGCTCGTCATAACAAGAATAAAATTGTATTTTATTCAATATATGAATGTTTCATATGGACATAAAGTGCCATAGTTTGTACACTCGTAAGATATCTACTGCACTTGAATACTTACTGAATGACCAGTTAACATGGCAATTTCTTTTAACYTTGTGTAAACCCCAACCGCAGTTAGTTTTGGTGGAGCAAACATTGTTCTTTGGTTAGTCCGGCATGACTGGCAACCACAAAAAAAGGAATTATTACACCACTAACAAAAAAAAGCAATAAAATCATAGTTTATACTCTGACTTTTACCTCAGCCACCAGCCCCARGTCTCCTTTCTCTGCTAAGTCTGATTTAATGAGTTGAATACTACGTCCTGAGAGGTTTACAGAAATCAAACAACTTTAGAGTACTGCAAATCGATTATTCTTATTTTTTGATATTATGTTGTACCTGTTGACTCTGACACAGCTTTCATTAAAACATTATCACCAATTCCAAGTTCTATGCCTTCATATGCAGGTGCAAGCTGAGACAAAAAAAATTATTCAAAAGCAACTTTTAACTTTGGCAGGCAACAGTCCCTGCCACATTTCCCCACAAAAAGGATACCATGCACTAATCAATAGGACAACTAAAATAGATGCCATTCATTACTATTTGCAGACAATTAACGATGTCGATCATTACAAAGTCACCATTTGTAATTGAAAAGCCATAAAATTATTAGCAATTCAATTAGTTTGAAAGCGTGTGTTAAAGAGTCCATTTGTCTACACTTTTCTAGAATAAATGGATGCCTGATTCACCATTCACTCTGAAACTGACTTTGAACACTGACTCTCCTCGTAAACATACTCAACAAAAGGGTTGCAATTGCATTAATTCAATTTCAGTAACAAAATTATTAGTGCCTTACAATGTACATACCTTGTTTAAACAGAGATAGACACAAGGGAGAAGATCATTAGGTGACAAGGCTATGACAGACCGCAGGAAATTACTGAGGGTTGACATGATTTTCAACCTAAAGAAAAGAAAAGAATTCTCCTTACATATAAAACAAGAAATCATCATCATCATCACCATCATCATCGCCATCATCATATTCATCGTCATAATATTTTTCGTCATCATCATTATCATTTTCCCTGGTAAGTTTATGTCTCTTACCTAGCTGATGTCTCCTCAATCGCTTCAAATGTTTTTGCAATAGCCAAATATGGCACTCTATGATTCAAAATAGACAGTTTGTGATTCAATCTTGAAGATAATAAGATGTGATTGATTTACTCACTTGTCTCCATGACGCCAGCATGCACTCTTAATTGGATGATAGTAATTTTTCTCAGGATTATAATYAGCTGCATCAACTGGTTTTTGGCTGTCCTCTTTACTGTCTTTCTCAGTGCTTTTAACAGACAGTGAGGGAATATTATTTGATGTTAAAATGGCTAATACACTGGGAATGAAAAGGTTATTAAGCCTACTCTTTTAGGGATTCTTTTGATTCTTTTTCCTTCTTGACTACTATTTCTTTGTTTTTTTCTTGTTTTGGCTTGTCTTTCTTTGCTGGTTGCCGTGGAGCTTRAATGGAAAAAGATCTTGTTAAACATACATAACTTTCATTTTATCAAATTATACAATGTAATTGTTATGTGATAAGCTAAGTGAATGGTGGAAAGAAAGGAAAGATGAATAAAATAGAAAAATGGAAGGGAGAAAGCAATGGAAACAGAAGTGTTCAAGAAGATGCAAAGTGAGAAAGAAATGCATGAGAATGATTAAGAACAGACGTTGAAAAAAAAGACAAGCATAGAATTAATGCAAGAAGAATATACGAAATGGACAGAAAAGAGAAGTGGATGAAAATTGGGAGAAACAAGGAACTGCAGAAATGAGTAAGAAATGGGAGAATGGTAGGATAAAGCAAATTGAATAGGAATAAGGATGTACATGTACCAGTATACAAGTACTCACAGAAGAAATTACTAATGGCCTTCTTTGGTTYAGCAGTCTTACTATCTTCCTCCTTTTCATCATCCAAATCAGAAACAGCTTTTTTTGCCTCCTTATTAGTTGGTGTTGTCTTTGTATTGGYTTTTTTCTTGTCTGGTGAGCTWTCACTTTTATTATCWGCAGAATCACTACTTGACCCTTGACTGCTCTTCTTTTTCTGTTTTTTAAGTTTTTCGTTGGGTTTTTTATCTTCGTCAGGTGTTTTTTCCACTTTGGTTTTCTTTGCAGCAGGACTGCGAACTCCACCTTTATTTTCTTCTTGTTTTTGAGTTTGCTTTGGTTCTTCTTCATTATTAGTCTTGTTATTTGTTGCCTATAAACGCAAAAAAGACCAATCTGGTTAGATTCAAACTTGCTTGATTACAATCAGTTGTTGTTATGTGCAATGTCTCAAATAATTGGTGTGAATGCACTTGATCTGTGAAATTGTATAACTTCTTTGTTTTATTTTATGCAATTTAGTAAACAGTGTTTTGAAAGAACAATGGTGGTTCAAGATATATATTAATTACCTCTTTCTTGGTGACATCTGAATTTTCAGCTGGTGCCTTTCTTTTTCTCATGTGTTTTCTTGCTAAAAAAATAAAATATCAGTGAGCATAGATGCTATAAAAAAAGACCAGCAACTTACTACTGTTTAATATGACAGTACCTCTCTTGTGCACAAAGATTCTTCCATACACAAATGAAAGTATAAAAAAGTGTTGTCATTATGATAGCTYAAGAATTTAGTAAACATTTTACTTGATTTGAGGTTTTACTCATAAAGCTCTGAAGTTTTAGGGTATACTTCAACTTACCCTTAAATTGCAAGAAAATTTAAATTTGCTGGTCTATTGTAATGATATTTTTGTGTTTTATGTTAAGGTCTGTGCACAAAGGTGTCTGTTGTCAACTAAAACAGCTGTCATCCATTTTGAATGGGAAAAAAGCATTAGGTCAAACTGAAAGAGCAATGTCTGAAACTAATGTGACTAACAGGTATTTTATTCAAGATATCTAAAAAGATTTATGCGAAACAACAGTCTTACAATACAAGCTACAGATTTCTTGTTGTTCTAAATTTATAAGTACCTGTTGTTCGTTTTGGTATATTTTCTTCTGTGCTTGACGATGGTGAGCTCATCTTTTCRTCACTTCCACTATGTCCATTTTCTTGCGGCTTTTCATCCTCTTTAGAATCCATGTTTTCATTCACTATTTCTTCCTTTTGATCATTTGAGTGTCCATTTGCTACAGGTGGAGCTGAACTWGTGTCCATTGCATCATTTTCCTCATCACTGCTGTCATCAAGAACTCTTGCTACTCTGCGGCGAGACTTTTTAACAGGTGGCGAGTCCAGACTTGTAAGAGTTTTTGCATCTTTTATTGGGGTTTTTGATTTCGTTTTCGAATCATTTCCCTGCCTGATTGGACAAGAAATTTTGCAGTTACCATCACATTTTTAAAAATAGCAGCATATTGTATTATTTTTGCACATCAGGGGTGGGTTGGAGTTTGGTGCTG